GACCTAATTGTATTAATCTATCCATCAATGTTGTTTCAAGATGAGCCATAAAGATATCAGCAATCACTGGTGCTAATGGAGCACCGATTTCAACACGATTAATTTGAACATACATATTGTTGTTAAAGGTAAAATGTGTATCAGATGGAGCTGTTCGAAGTAGCGTTTGAAAATGAATTCTCCGCTTATATTTACTACATTGTTTTGTTCTTGGCAATTCCTGTTTCAAACATGATTTTCTGCATGTTGGATACATTTCATGAGGAACAAAACCAATTGTATACGTAAGTGGAACATGGTAAAGAGACTTACTACATCAAACGAAACCATTCTCTTATCCACATTTTTTGATGATTTAATTTTGTTTAAAAAATCAAATGAATCATTAACACCATATGGACTTGTTCGAAGATGTGATAATCGATTAGTAAGCATTTTTCCTAAGCCATATCCAACTGTTTTAATTGCAGACGTAACAGGACGTAATGGATACTTTTCTTTTGCTTTATGTAATTTTGGAAGACCATAGAGACGAGCTGGTCTCGAATCTATTGATTTAACCATATTATATTCTTCATTAGTAATGAAGCCTTCTTTTTCTAAACGCAATAACAAACGTATCAGACGATCTTCATCACTAATGGTTGGATCATCATAAATACGTTTGAAAGTTGTTTGATCTTGTAGAAGAGTTTCCATTTTATGCATGTAATCACGCTTATCCATTATAACAACACCATGTCCTTTGTCAGGTTTGGTGATAATAATTGTCGGATCCTTGTCTATTGATCTAAGTGTTGGTTTGATTTATTTGTAGTGTTTATTATTTATAGTCATGTCTAGTTCTGCTTCCTTTCGAAATGAATTAGCTAATGAACGTAATTGACCAGCAGCTTTTAATTGAACTGATGTTAGTTTATGTTTAATTTGTTGCTTGGGATTTTTGCGTTCATAATGACGACAATCAGTATATAAATTATTTTATTATGCATATTTATATTCCATGTTACAAACAAATCTAGAATTATCAAATTTACTTGTTGGAAATACATGATGGAGACGATGTTTCAATGGATTTTCTTCATCAATTGTTAATTTTCGTTGAGATAAATTTGTAATTGTTTTCAGATCATTTTCTTGTGCACTATCATTATTATTCATTCTAAGTGATGAAATATTGATTGAATTACGATTAGATTGTTTCATAGCTTTCTTAACATTGTAATAACGTAATTTACCTAATTTGCGATCATGTCGTTTTTTAATACTTTTCATTTCTTTTCAAATAATTTCATCATTTATAGATATTAAACGATCGAATATAATGTGGTACGCTATCTTTTAACATATTTAATAATCTTGATGAATGACGGTAGATTTGTGTTAAAAATTGTTTTTTTTGTATTTTAATGCACCTAGTACTATATTCTGAGCACATTGTTGAATGACTTGCATTTTTACAAGATATCGATTGGCTAGACGAACACGTGCAAATGTTGGTATTAGCCGTTCTCTGTTATATATTCTTATAAAAATTAAATCAATACAACTTTCGTACAATTTTAAATGCATCTTAACAAATTCATAAGATAATCTCATAACTAAGGTG